TTGACGAATATGCACTTCATTATTTCATTTCATTGCGAGCATTATCAGAGATCATTGAAATTAAATTCCACGGTTAACAGGTTAATATTATGAAACGGGTAATTTGACGCACGATTAAACGGAAATATGAAATTCAAAATGTTTAGATGTTGATTGTTAATTGTTCTAATCTTCGCCATTGTTATATGGCGAAAAATCGTCGTTTGAAAATATAATCAAAATATTTCATTTACATTACATTCTATAGATTCAAATTAAAGAGTTTTATTTTTTCATAAGGTTATCGACATTTCAGTTACTGACTTAACTGAACTTTTAGTCGAAAACTTCCACTTTCTGCATTCTAATAAATAATCAGGATGAATAGGAAAACATGGTTCAACAAAGAGTAGATAACTTTATGCGGAAAATTCTTTACAGTTTTCTCTAAATCGGCACAGTAAATTCCGAGATCTATTCAGTGTTAATTTGACAACATTGTTTCAAGAACGCATTTCAATTTCAAAGTTCAAGTGAATAGTAAAATGATAGAATACACAATATTTAGAGGCCATGTAGCAATCTTTTGTTCATATTTTATTTTTATCAATTTTTACTACTTTTTAAGTTTTCCTCCAGTGCACGAGTAGAAGCACGCAATAGTTGAGCAATGACAACGGTTGCATAATGATACGCTTTAGGACCAGTTAATAAGTTTAATGCGTTCATTATCTTCACTGATGCTGTTGATTCCTCATTGAATGCACATGTTGCTGCGTACACAGCGATATCCGTGATAGTGGCGCTATCGTGAGACACGTTTGGGGCAATTCTCCAAATAACAATATTTATTCTTTCATTGTTTCTCTACGTGATCTAACCTGCTAACACTGCGTTATAATACCCTAACCTCCCTGATATCTTCATAAATTACTTTTATTGCAACAAGTGCATGTTTTGGAAGATCCATATAATCCACTTCATCAGCGGCACGCCAACTGACCCTGACCTGCCGGCTTTAAACGGCCGTAACTTCGTTATTAATGGGAATTTCCGAATGAAACTTGGCTAAAATATTCCACAAGAAGAGTATGTAACCTTAAGTATATAACCTTTGAATATATTGCAAGCAGAGGAAATTTTACTCTCGAATAATCTTCTATGAGCATATAATTGAAGTATTATTGTCAGACAAGAAATATGCATCTGATAATAAGTGTGTTTATAACTAGGAATACAGGCACAAGGAATCATGATTCCAAATTGCAAATGATTTAAAATAAGGATGAATTAATTTCATGAAATTTCGTAAATTAAACATACGAATTAGTTTTAATTAATTCTTTTGTCATTGAATTAATTTTTTATATTATTAAAATATTTCATTATTATGTTTGCTTATTTTGGGAATAATAGTTTATATTAATTATATAAACTTCATAATATTATTCGACTGATACTATTCTAAATACTTTTTACAAGTAAATAAGTTATTTTTGCATAGCATATTGAAAATGGTACATTTCCATTTATAGTTACCACAAGTATAAAACTATGCAAATTGAATTTACAGATAAATACCAATAAACTAGAATTAAATAAAACTCCATTTCCTTCGTAAATAAATTCGGCGAATTGAGAATAAAATTATACAGTATTTAATACCATTCAGTCTTTCATTTCACGATTCGTTAAAGATTATTACACGCTGAAAGTTACTTAAAATTCCTGAGTCCAGGAATTACGCTCAAATTGTGTGTAACCACTGACTATTAAGAAGTAGGTAGTCACTTAGCGCGTGTCAAAAGTAGAAGCCACCGTAGCGATTACAATTTTCGGAAGTGAAATTCAACGTCGCAGGTGCCGCAAGAAGTTTGCAACATAATGTTGAGTTATACCGTGTAAATAGGAGCCTCCAGCTAAGTTAAATGGATTCCTCGGCTGAACAATACATCTTTGTCGAATTGCAAATGGTTGTTCCGCACTGGTAAACAGCTGCTGTTGCTTAACTACGTAGCGCCAACCCAATCTAAAGTCTACACCAGTGGTTCTTAACATTTTGTTTAATACAGAACCGCTTCAAATAAAAATTCTTTGTCCGCAAAGGGTTAAGTCAGATAGTGTTAAAAAAATTATGTAACATGATTTAAATGGTGTATGCTTAACAAACATTCGGCTTTAACACTCTCGCTATCAGTGTCACATGTATCTGACACAATTTTAGAAAAATTTGACATGTATTCTTTATCAGTTTATGATAACTGGTTGCACCAAATTGTGCCGTAAATAGATTAATTAAGTTATGAAATAATAAAATACATGTAGTATGTTCTTGGTCTGCAGTTAATTATAGTTTATCATTCTTGAGCAGCAGTTGAATCGGTCAGTTCAAAATTAGTGACAATTGATGTTATGTTGAAACAATGAAACATCTGGTCTACAGTGGTCGATTTTACTCTGACACCTTGATATCCATTTGATTCAACACAACCAAATGATTACATTTAAAATTCATTATTAAATTTTGCATAATGTGTAGCATAGGAAACATTGAAAGGAAATAGTTCTGTCTCGTAATTTATGCAAGATTTTTCTTTACGTTAGTTGCAAATATTATTATCGATGTTTCATCAGAAAACAGTGAATATTTATAATGAAAAATATTATCAAGTGCAAAGAATTAAGAAGCACTGTGTACATCAGTATTCTCACGAAAAGCTGTACTTGGTTTTTTCGCCCTTATCGCATCGAGGCTTATATTTGACACTTGCTTGCACCTGACGCAACTTTCTCTGATATATGTGGTTACCAGCTTCCGGCGGGATCGAATCGATCACGGAACGCTGTAAAATGGGATTTATGGGATGGCCAAGGGATCTTGCAAACTCTTTGCTCCCGAACTGCAACGCAGCATAATTTATAATCATATCGATAATTAAATTGATCTTGCGTATCCATTTTTTATTGTCTTCTACATTTTGTCACACATTAAAGTATAGTATAGAGAATTATTTAACAGGGTTATTTATATATTTAAAAGAGTATTATCTATTGAATGCAGAGATTATAATAATTGCATAAAGTGAGCAACGTGCACATAGCTAACTAAAATAATAATTTTGAAAAATGTACAATCGTTTTGAACCAGTGAAGAAATTTCCTAAAAATTGTTATTCTCATTAACACTCTATTATTTCTATGTTAATTTTACGAATTCATTTAAGTTACACAGGATTCTAACTTTGATATATCGTACTGCACGAAGATACAAAAAAGATCCAATTTTTTAAATCCTTGTACTGAAGAGGTTCCTCTGATCAATATAGTCAGTAGCCACGTCATAAGTTTAATTAGAACTCAGGGAATAAGGATATCCAATTAAGTAAAGATATCAAATATTAAAACAAGCAAAACAACTAATTTTCCCAATACTAAGTAGTTTTACTTCAAAGTTGTCCAATACTTTATTTACGCACATTTGCATCTCAACAATAACTGCTTATGTTAACGCTACAGCAAACTGAGTGTACACTGCTTGAACCAATGAAAATATGCAAAAGAGGATTCTCTTCGCGTTTGTTTAAACGTTAGCTGTTCCATGGAGTAATCATGATAACCTACCTTTATTAACAAAAAAGGAGAAAAAGGGAAATGAAAGCAGAACACAAGACATAATTCGCCGTTTTTATTTTCCGTTATCAGCGTTATCATAATATCGAGTGTAATTTGTATAGTGGGAAGAAACACTCTTCATTTGCTCACGCTGCGGACACGGAAACCGCAATTCACGCGTAGCGTGTCCGCGACACTATTTAACGTCTTCTAGTGCTGGTTTAGCATCTATCGGGCGTATTGTCGTGTATTTGCTTATGCAATAAACGTCAAATACCTTTCATACCGTTTCATCCGGTTCGCGCTCGCGCGTCGTCGTCGTCGTCGTCGTCGTCGTCGTCGTCATCGTCGTCGTCGTCATCGTCGTCGTCGTCGATCTAGCATCTCGTCTCGAGGACGCCCGACGGTTGTGTAAGACGATGGTACAAAACGTTCCAACTGTTATCTAATCTCGGAGAGTCGCCCCGTGTCTTTGCCTCCTCGGTCGGTATGTTGCTTGCGAAGAAATATTTACACAAAACATACCTTACCTTCCTCGTGTATCCGGCTTTTAGCCGAATTCGTTGCGTCCTGTCGTTCCAAATACCTTTCGTGCTACATTTCTTTAGAAAATGTTCCTTGGAGCTTTGCTAATTGGCGTGCTCTTCGACGAGAAAACCGTGAAAATTCCAATGGGACTATCCTTTAATCTAATATAGCTAATGCGTTCAATATAAATTTTCTTTGGACTTTTGGATTGCACCTTTTGCTGCATTCTTTTAAATTATGGACAAGTATAAATTGACACTGATAATTTCACTTGAATTAAATAATTTACTGATAGAATATCAGTGCATTATAATGTTACAACAATCTCTTTCAATCTTTGACAATTAAGAGAACATTCGTGACACGTAAGATGTCCCATATAATTCCGCCTTCAATCTCATTATTTCCAATTTTCCAGCTTGAACATTTTCCGATAACAAATTAGAGCGTATAAATTTATAACATGATAAACGATTCTCCATTGCACAAAAAGAACAACATTAATAATTTACGAAGGCCATTATCGTCGTAGAGACACGAGTACTATCGTCATATGTGACCTAAAGATCGCCATATGTGACCTAAAGAAACTTATATGTCTCAGAGACCGACACAAAAAATTCCAAGAAACAACAACAAGAAAGGATACCAGCAACTCATTGCTACTAAAACAATCGCAATTCCTAAAGCTCTCCCACAAACACTAACAGAAGCATATCACCTATTCCACAAACAAACCAACAATCAAGTTCCCAAAAAAGTTTCCAAAAAAGTATGAAGACGCTGCAAAACAGTGACGATCCTCAAACGACTGTAACCCCTTAAACCTCTAAAACCAACCAACAAAACGGAAGAACCTAAACAATAGTCTTTGCTTGCAGATGACAGTCGGCATGCCGCCGTCGTAGAATCGACGCAGTCGTTCTCCCCGGTAGGACCTGTCCAAAATGTCCAAGATCAGCGTCGTACGTGCCGCTTAGCGAATCATCGCTGTCACGGATTCATCAGTAGGGAAAAAGGAATTTCTTGCTCCTACCGCGGAAAACAACTAAAAAAATTCAAATAGTGCAGTGATCCGGTGAAAATAAACGGGGGGGGGAGGTGGACAGGACAGAGGAAGGAGGACAAGTGGTTGCCGTCGAAGAGTCCTGGTGAGCGTAAATGGTCGAGGGCACGGTGAACCGGGTTTACAAGCGAACAGCCGTTCAGTGAGCAGCCGTTGGGAGCGCGGAGAGACGCGCTGCTACGATCGCGAGGGATGCGGCCCATGGGCGTAGGGTGGGGTCTTTGGGCACCGATAAGGCTTATCCGAAGATACGATGGCCGACTGCTCGGCTGTTGTCGTCAGTCGTAGTGCTCAGGTGGCGTCGACGGGATCGCCGTTCGGTTTAACTCACGCTGATACCGCCGCGGGTTCGCGTCTCTTCCACGCTCGAGCGCCACGATCGCACGCCGTCGATCGAGTCCGACTGATCGGCGCCGAATTAACGACTGCCGCTGCCGCGGAGATACGGGAGGACCTGGAGGAAGAGGAGGCCGTTTGAGCCGCGCCGAGACAGAGTGAAACAGGTTCGAACGGGGATTGCTTGGGTTGCGGATCGCGTGAAGAACGGTGCACGATAGAGCTAGAGATAGATCTTACGAAACGATTCACTTCGTTTTGTGAACGATTTCGAATATTTTTTAGTTTTAATGTACATATGTCTAAAGTTTCATTTTAGTTCGTTACGCATAAATGAATGTCTCACTTTCATATTTAATTAGGGAATAGTAACCGATGATACGGGATACCTTCTGCGTAAAATTGCCGGTGAACAATGTGTTAGAGTTGAAATTATTTGTTAGTGAATGGATTAATATGGAGTATTGATATTGGTGTTGATTTTGTTTGATATTGAAATATGTAAGAACATAGAAGTATAATATATATATACAGAATTCATGTAGATTTAGAAGTTTTACTTATTTTAAGCTTCACGAATCACTGTTCTTCGTGCGATCACAGTCTGTAGGTGAGAAGGATAAGGATCGATATACATTATCGATCGCATTATCGAACCGTTTGGTCATACTTTATTTCCGACGCCATCGTGTCTCAGCACAAGAATTTCTCGAACTCTTCATAAATCAGTTTGTCATTTCAAATCTCTTTTAACAGAAAGATTAAAGAAGAAGAAAATAAAAGTGTAAAATGTTTCCATAGTTTCTATTTGTTCACAGTATCGGCTTCACAATCGTTTGCTCGGTTACGTTCGAGCCAAAAGCGTTATCAGTAACTGAATACGTGCGTTATAATTAAACATTTGATAGGATCGATAGCGTGTATCAGAGCAAAGAAAGGGTGTAACGATTGCTATGTCACGGAAATGGAACCAGCCCCCCTCTCCTCTTGTGCCTCTATCACCTTGTCGCCACGCTACGCTCCGAGTTTCGCGCCCCCTTTCTAATCGCCTTGTTCTCAAAGCGACTCGAGATTTTAATTTGACGTTTTAACGCGCGAAGTGGTCAACGGTAAAGAGAAGTCGAGAAGATGAAGAAGAGAGCACCCAGAAGCCGCTCCGAGCAAGGAGCCGGTTACACGATGAAAAGAGAGGAAGAGACAGAGAAAGATAGAAGAAGAAAGATCGAGGGGAAAGGGAGTAAGGAAAAAGGAGAAAGCGAGTGCGAAGGACAAAAGTGTTAGAGGGTAATCTGAAAGAGCCAAGGCTCTCTTTCCTACGAGCTTTCGCCCTCGCCATTTCTTTTCCGTTCTCTTTCTCTCTTTCTCTTTTTCAGCTTCGCTTTCTTTCAGCCTCTCGCTCCGGGAGACTACTGCTAGCTCGCGTGCTAAATTATTCGTGACCTCTTTGACACTTGACAGTGGTGACAGTTCCGGTAATTTTACGTCTATCTTCGTCCTCCAGACTCGAGTTTGACTTTCTTGCGTCTTCGCCCACTCTTCCATCATTTTTACCCAGTCTGCGCCGTGCAATGTTGCTGTTCCTCGCTCGGTTCTTCGGTTGTTCAGCAAAATTGTTATGTTTTTTATTGAGAATAATTAAGTCTCGTCAGGTTTTCGTTGTTGGTTTGTAATGGTTTCTACCACATTGTTTTTCGTAAATTGGTTTAATTGATCATATTAGTTGTATACTAGAGTTTCTGTTTATACTTTTGTATTCGAATCTAAATACTTTGCCTGGCCTGGAAACGGGTCTTGGTAAATTCTACTATTCTTATTCAAATTTGGTGCTCACTTTCGCCAACAATCCAGAGTCATAGCACTCCTATAGGTTTCTCCGCTGTGTCACCGAAAATTTCAAACAATCCCAGCAAGGAATTACTTACTATGAAACAAAATGCTTGCCATCTACTTACATACTAATATGCAACATACTAAATGCGAAAAATTTCGAGTTACCATTGACAAAACGTCATGCGTCTCCTTCCGCGTGTCAGTCTCATTTTCCCGAGCTAGTTTATGTAAATATAGAGGAATTCGATCTTTCAGCGCGGAACAAAGAGGAGCTAGTCAACGAAACTGCGCGAAAGAGCCGAACTCCGCTAAGAAAACGGCGGACAGGAAAGGGCTGCAATGGAGCGGCGGGGGGTTGAAGAAGCCAGAATAAAGGGTGAAGGAAGAGTAACGCCAAGGGAGATCAGCTGGTTCGCCTATACGAGACGAGTTTCTAATTAAACTGAAACTTTTAATTGACTCGTTGCGAAGCCGTTTCGCGCTGGAGGTGTTCCACGTACGCGTTCCAGCTATCTACGTTCCTCCGATTTCACTCCGCTTATACCGGCTCTTCTGTCTTCGGAAGTTCGCCTTTTCCGAGATACTTTGCCAGGCCAAGGTCCAAGGAGGACTTTCTTTATGACCACTTCGTTGCGGACTAATTAGACACAGAGAATCCGATCGTATTCGTGCGATATTACCGTGGAAAAGTGTACCAGAGCCCAAAGGTTTTGGAATTGCTTCCTAAAACTCAAATTTTTGTATGAATGAACGTTTGAGGTCTTACGCGAAATTTGAATTTGGCAAATCAAACTCGTATGGTACGAGTTGCTTTTTTCTTTTTGGTAGAGTTTTTGGTTTTATGAGAAAATGTTTGAGAAATGGTGTCTACCTGAAGAAATTTATAATAGTAATTTAACTCTATTGCGCGACAAGGGAAAAGTAATTGGCAAACTTCAATTTAGATAAGGAAAAGTAGCAGAACTTATGTTGTACTGTTATAGAGGGTAACCTAATTTGGTCACTTTAAGTAAATTATATTTTTTCCATCAAGATGGCTCCCATATTGTTAATCATTTCAACACAGTAATCGTTACTTACCAGTGTTCATCGACAAATCAGTATATCTTATTAACTATTAAGTTTAAGACTGATAAAAGAATATCTTCATAAGCTACAATACCAAAAGAAAAAATACTAACACGTTCCGTGCCAGACCGTTTTTTGAAGACATTCCGTTCAGGTCGCGTGGGGCGTATACACCCCACGTTTTACAGTTGTATTGTTTTGTTTCTGGAGTATGCCTTACAATGATTAAAATAATGCAAAACTCATAACTGTCAAGAAAAGGGTTTAAGACGCATAACACAAGAAAGCATTAAATTTATTTTTTGAAGAATTAGTTTAACAAATACGTGGCTGAACATTATTCTATCGAGCGAGTCGCATCCTCGCACATAATATTTTTTTATGATGTCTATATTAGTTTAAAATAAAACATTTTAGTTGAAATATATTTAATATTATATTTATGTGACAAGTTTGTATATAATCAGGAAGGGATATTACGGTGAACTTTGTTAAGACATGGCAAACATACACGTGGTTTATCCACACAACTATTACAGAATGTTGCAACTTTTACAGTACAGTTTCCTGCCGATTGGGAATCGCATTTTTAACGTTAAAAAAATCGCAGTAAAAAGAAATTGCTACCACGCCGTGTGGGGCGTATCCGCCCCACGATCAAATAAACGCCGCGACAATAGTATTAAGATGCCCATTATTGACTGCATAATACATTTTTAATAAATTCTTCATTTTACAATGACAGTACCCAATGGCTTGAACGGAAAATTGAGCGTGGGGCGCATACGCGGTACGAAACGTGCTAATCAAAGGTTCACATACCTAACACACTCTAACCTAAAAAAGAATTGCAAATACTATGTATAATAGTCCCTTCAAAATCACATAATTATATTGAAAATGATCAACGATTACTACATGCGATTTGCTCAATACATTTCTCTCTACTTATTCAGTACGCCTATAGATAATCATTTTAGCATAGATTTTTTTCTCCAACGACGCGTTAATCAGTTGATATCCCACCAAACAAAACAGATCCTGCGATAACGTATTTACTTATCTTTCTTTCTTCTTTTTTTAGCGATTCAAGGAACTACGATAACTGGGACTCAACATCTGCCCGAACGTTGGTCGGCTTATTCGAAATCTACCGTGGTAATCGGTCCGCTAAAAACAAGTATCCAGTGCTCGTATTCACGCGTAATACGTGTCGTCGCATGAACAGTGCTCCCTGGTACCTTCGACAGTGATTCGTGAATAAATCCTCTCCGGGGAAAAGTGTGACGGATAAATCATCGAGGAGGAAAAAGTAGTGCGTTTCCGTTTTATTAAAAAATTCTACGGGTGAAATTGTTCGTACGCGTAAAAGGTAGAGTTTGAGGGTTGACGCCTTCAAACCGGAGACGACGAAATAATCCTGTCTTCCTCAAGGATAAGCGAGGCCGAGGGAAGGAGGCACCGAGAACCGGTCGCCAGGAGGACTCCAATGAAAATGTTGCAATCGTTGAACGCTTTGGCGGGAAAGATCTCGCCAGGCTCGCCGACTGACAGCAACGCGAACAAGGTACACATGCATAACAACAACAACAACAACAACAACGTGGTGCACCACCATCATCCGTACGCAAAGCAGCAGCCGCAGCAACCGTCGCCGTCGTCGCAGTCTAGCAACGGGGACCAGAAGGAAAACACGTGAGTACCGATATTGATCATTTTATTTTCTTTTTTTATTTTGGTGAATTGTGTGTATGATTCGTGAAATGTGATTTATAGTGCTTAGGATATTATGGACAAGATAAAATTGTTTCACTGGCGGTTAATTAACCGTTTCAATGCAACCGGTCTTTGCAAAAATTCGGTCGAAAAGTGGATCAGAAGAAGTTGAAAAGTTAGGCGGCGCGATCGTGCTTCTTTCGTTTCAGCTCAGAAACTAAATTAAGCCTTTCTATTTTTACATTAAAAATTTTTAAATAATGCGATTATTTCACTTCTTCCATTTTTCGAGAGGGAATAACTAAACCGAAAATAACTAATTAGAAGGAACACAGATAAATAAACTTAATTTGATTCTACCAACCGATAGGCTAACACATTTAGTCAGTATCACGAAACAGCGGGATCGCACTGCTTAAATTGCTTGAGAACAATTATAATAAAGAAATTTATATCGAATAAAAATATTTAGTAACATAGGTAGCTAGATAGTAGTGTAATACGAGTATAATGGTGTCAAATTATTAATAATAATTTCTAATACTATTTATCTTTGTTATGAAAGAATAAATATTACTATACAGAACGCTCTAATTCTCGTGGCAGACAATGTGTTATAAGAAATTTTGATTTTTATTAAATGCTTCGTTTTAGGCATCATTGATGGTGTATCGTTGAAAGTATTCCTTTAATTTCTTTGTTAAATATAAAAAATATAAAAAAGAAACTTTTTCTTTCTTTTATATCAGCTGCATTTTAATTTCGCTCCTATAAATTCGTTGCGCAGCATAATTGCTGCACCTGGCAGAAAATGTCAGAAAAATCGTGGGAATTAGGGAAAATTATTAAGTGGCGTGATAAAATAGTGAAATATTTGTAACAATATGAATAGAGGAGAATAATAGAGGTTCTTAGACGATCTTGGATTAAAAACTGTTTTACTGAAATAAATTTATGAAGTTGGGACGGTTTAATGGTTGCATTATGAAACAATGTATTATGATAATAATGTAAATGGAATTTAATGCTTATTGCAACTGCTTCTCCTTTAGTGACTGTTTCTTTCCATTATCTTGTTACTTGCAAAAGCTTAGAATAAGCTTCGCTTAATAGGAAGACTGACCCATGGGAATATGCGAAGTGAGCTCTTTTCTTCTTGAAAGGAAAATTGAGCGAAGAAAAATATTTGTACCAATAGAACCTTGAGGAAAATTTTTGAATCGAACGAATATCCAGTCTTCAATTCCATTGAAATATTACAAGCTATTAATGTTTGCAGAAGTATGTGATTTAATAGATATAATTCTCTTACATCGAATACTTTTATAATCGTTTTCAAAAAAACAGAGTTCTTTTACATGTATCTGTTGCGAGTAATACAAGAATATTTCATCAAATTTACAATTTCACAGATCAATGCGTAAAAATAATGAAATAAAAACATATTTGTTTGGAAATGAGATATAAGGTACTTTACACGTATTACATCGAATTATACACCGATGAATCTAGAAAAATTTTTCATATTGATTATTTGTTTATTGTATGTACACTGCAATGCCGATTAATTTTAATTATTCAATCAAATTGTTGATTTTGTCATGTGGTACACTTTGGACGTTGCACTTTGGATGTTTGCATTTTTATGATATTTTATCGTATATAAGGTAAACATTTACATTATGATCTACCATGGATCGTCGATAAAATTCGGCAGCACGGTGTGAATAAATTGTTATGTATATAGCCAGAACCGGGAACGAGTGAAATCTATATTTTATATTGTGTTTTTCGTATTAATCTGTCACAGACAATCAATAATTAATACAAAAAAAATACATTACACAAGTTGCCAGTTAAATTATAACATTGTGCTAGTCTATGGATCTTTATGCATTTATAATTTTTATGAATTTACACAATGTAATAAATAGATATATCAATGGAAATTTAATTAGTAATTCATCTCACTAATTACTTCTATAGAGTTCCCGTATTCATAAAACAATTTGCAGCACAGAAATCACTAGATTATACATCTTTCTACACTAATGTTCAATAAAAATCCAAAAAAACAGTAAAACATTACACAAAATTAAAATAAAATAATTTTTACTAGAATTTTAATTTATCGCATTCATGAACATAAAGAGTACACTTAACCCCCTAGTTCCCGGTGGCATCACTTTAAAACCACGTATTTCAATATCAGTAAAATACAAATCAGTGTATTAGTTGCAAAGTCACCAGTATAAAATCGATATATTGTAGTAATCACCACCAATTTCTTTAACAGTTAGAATAGCATTTATCATAAAAATATTTATTTCTCTTAAAAATGATAAGTTATTCAACGCATATTTTAAAAATAAATGTATTTTCTTCAACATTTTTATTTGGCACCTAAAGGATTAATTATTCAAGTAACAATAGATCAGTACGTACCTTTCTTCTTTCCTATTTAAAGTTTCGATGTATAATTCGATACTGTATGAAAGGAGAATTCAGAAGTTCGAAAAATTCTTGTCCGCATATGGTTCATTTCCGACAAGTCCCACAAAAATAACCCGGGTGTAACGATTATACAGAGAACACAGGGGTTAAACTAAAACCTCCGGTCTGGAAGAAGCTGCTGGTCCAATCCAGACTATCCCCCGACCATGGAATTCAATATCGCCAAGAAAAAATACGATCGGGAAGGAAGGTGTGACGGGGCGTAGTCGGCCGGGTGTGAGAAATTAATTTAGACGTACACCGAAACGCGGATCCTTATGTTCCGTAACGGAACGCCGTTACGCCTGCAGAATTCTCGGTTGCCGGTCCACGCTCGAGGAATTCCGCCCTTCGAATATCGCGTTTTACGTTAGGCGGGTGCATATTTTAGAGAGATCCGCTCCGCGGGGGGTAGATGAAGGAGATTGTGGAGAAAAGGTGAGAATAGGGAGAGAAGGAGCGAGGGCTGGGGACGAATCGTGAAGGAGAGTGAGGGAGAGGGAGGAATGATAGTTGGAGAGAGCAATGTTGCACGGAAGAACCAGAGGGGTGGTCTGGGTTAGGTCTTCTCCCGCATCGAGGAATGTCGCCAAGTTATTTTAGGCTTTCCCTACCATCCTGTTCCACGGAGACCATCGTATGGGTCGCGTTTACGCGACGTAACGAAATAATGAAGAAGGGCATGCCGACGTATCGCGTTCTTTACTCTCTCTCTAGACGAGACGGAAAGGAACATCCTATCCCGCTCGTATTTCGCGATTCCCTCGCGAAGCGGAGAAACAACCGTGACAAAATGACGTCTGGATGTTTCCTCGCTTCGCAGGGTGGAACGTGCTCGGAAGAAGGGTGACTATCTTCTATTTTTCTTGAAATTTCATTTGGATTCGCAAAGATTTGATTATGAACTGTGCCGTTTTAGAGTGGCAGTTTAGATTCGGATGAGAGGTGGATGGCGGTGAAATTTTATGTGGATTTGAATCAGTTTGTGTGTGGTATTTTGAGAGAGATATTCAAAGTAAAAAGTAAACATAAAAAGTAAAATAAAAATAAAAAGTACTTAACACTGCCAGACGTGCATATATTGAGAATTTAAGCTTTATTCGAATGTTAATGCCATATTCATTCCGATAAAAGCATTCATACATCTTACGACGCACCTAAAATTTTATCTTAGACCTTTTATGGTCTCGAATCATATCAAGCTATTGATAAGTTTGTTAGAATTAACTGTTACAAATGATAGTTACATATTAGTATCTTTCATATCATAATATAGGATATCTTTCCCATCACCTTAACATGATTACGTGATATCTATCCGTTATCAGGTTTTATTCGTATCAAAATCTTAATTAAAAGGAGACATGTGATTCCATTTCCAATTTCTAATTTTAATTTTGTTACACGCTGACTTTAAAAAAGTAATGTGTTTAATTTATTTCCTTTTGATAGACTAACTTCTTTTCCAGATTGTAATTATGGTATGAGTACATTTTTTTTCGTTAAAGTATTATGACAAAGTTTACTGTCCTGCTTTGTAACCGCGGATAAAGGACAAAAGTTCAACCTTAGGAACACCGAGCGTACAAAGTGACTGGTTTGCAACTTCTTCTGGAAGTTACAAGAGCGCATTTGTGAAAATTTCGTGCAAGTTCCCTCGCAGTATACGCATGAATAAATGAATTTATTATTCTCGCTAAAGCATCTTCATAGTTTCAGTAATTGTAAAATAAAAACTCTGAAGTGGGTAATTCTCACCTGTTCGACAATACCAGTATCAAAACTAGAAGTAACAAAGAAACAGTTTCTTCGACACATTTAATACGAAAAATTTCAATTTCACAGTGATCTATGAATTTTTAAGTATTTAATTAAAATCCTGTATGAAACTTAGCAATATCCTGATCCAAATTACGCGCGCGAATAAAAAATCCATTATTTTTAAATTAACATTCATTTATATGCAAACGAAGGATCTCCTCTATCGCATTAATATTCATAATCAGTTTCCCACAGCCTGGCACATTTTTGTCAATCACAGTATCGGTAGAATATTTTCGATCTACAATAAAAATAATTTGAAAATAATTTCGAAAGTAATCTCCTAGTTGTTAGTTGCATCAAGAAGTTGTGTAGGGTAATGATTGTAATTGTGGACTGGCTTCTTCATTTACGAGTTGTATATTATTCACATTTACTAATTCTATTAATTTTAATATTTACTACACATTTAATAATTTCATTAATTTTAATACTTACTACACATTTACTAATTCTATTAATTTCAATGCTTACTACCCATTTACTAATTCTATTAATTTTAATATTTACTACCCACTTTCTAGTTTCATAAACCTTAATATTTACTACACATCCACTAATTTAACTATTCATTCACGCTTACTACCTCCAACACTTACAATTTCAAAAAGAATCTAATGACAAAACTACGCGGCCCCTCAGATCATATTTACACTTTACCGTTC